AAGGGACACTAGGATCCAGCAGTGGGTGTCAGGGGCCAATGAAGGACCCTTGAAACTCTGTGGGAGGGGGCTCTGAGCCCCTCCTGCCTTGGAGGGAGAACAGGCASCCACACCCTCACACAGGACTCTGAGGAGCAACCATGGAGCATCCAACCCCTCTGCAGCTCCCACTGCCAGGAGCCGCTGCAGCCCATCACCCACTCATGGTGCTCCTCTAAATCCCTCCAATTTCTCAAACTTTCTGAAATAGGATCCTAGAGCAGGAGCCCCTAAGCAGAGAACCCAGAGATCTGCAGGCACTGAGCACCTGCCCCAGGTGTCTGTGTGCAACACACATTCTGCATACTGAAAACCAATAACTCAGTAAATATTCCTGTTCTGCATTTGAAACAACTATGTGCAATATTTGTATTTTACAGTGGTAATGAAATACTTTCTATTCCATCAGTAATTAAGGAAGATGCTAAACTGTGTAAGTAACAATTTTTATAATGTGCAGGAGAAGAGCTTACATCCAAGAGTATTTAATTGGCTAATGAGTTCACTGAACCATTTATTTTTTCTTTATAACAAATCATGGCACACTGGGGAACTTAAGATTACTAGGGGGAAAAATACCAATGTCTTGTCAGTATTTAAATGTGTTCACATGGATATCCAAGAAACTGCAGAGCAGTTASTTCAACATACCTCCCAAGCAATCACAGACAAACAGTCAAAGAATGTCCTGGGCAAGTTAGTAAAAACTAGAACCCAATTTAATGTAATTTGAAAGAGTACTTCCAAATGATTTTATGTAACTTTTTTTACAAGCCTACAAGTTTGTTAGAGTTATTGAGACACATGGGGCATGCTTAGAATCCCGTAAGTCATTTGACTTAATTCTGCATGGCATTCTAATAGAAGAGTTAGCTGTATGCTGCAGTAAGTGTACTCAGTATGAACAGGTCCAAAAGAACTCGGTGACTGAGAAGACATCYCACACAGCCATTTGACAGGTGTATTTCTGGCTCTATTCTCTTCATATATCACTGCTGTATGCTATTAGCAATCAGGGAGAAATAAAGAAAAAACAATTGCTGATAAAATTACTGGAATCGATAAAAATTAATTGCTGGGATGGTAAAAGAAACAGGTGGTACTTGCTCAACATAGCCTGATCTGGGTTGCTGGAAACATCAGGTTCATGAATTGCCTGGTTTGGCAAGTATTAGATGCAATATTATATTGAAGTATTAGATGCAWTACATAGAAAAGAGGAATGGGACTTCACTTTAAATCAGGGACAGCATCATGGATAGTAACAAGTCTGAAAAACATTAGAGGCTGCAACATCTGCCATCTGAGCACAGGCTGCACTGATTGGAGAGCACCACTGCTCAAGCCTCTTCCTGGGCTGTGCAAGTGGTCAAATTCAAATCCAAGTTTCTCAAGCATTTGTATGGATCTCAAATCCACAACAGAACAACCCCTACACAATCACAACACAACTCTGTTTTGAGTGGGTTCACAGCTGGCCTCCCTCCATCTCCAACAGATGCATTGCAACCGGAAAGGCCCAGGGAAAACCTGTATGTGGAGTAAGGGCTGGGTGACAGCTTCCACATAGGAACAGCACAGCTGAATAGAATTCCAGCCCAAATAAGGAGAGAAATAACAGAGATCTGTATAGTTCTAAATCATGTGATAAAGAGGAACAGACAATTGTTGCCCATAGGTTCTTACATGGCATCAAATGAAACATGACAGTGATAGCAGAAAGATAAATAGAAGGAGGTGATCAACATGCTGCTATTCTTCTCTCCTTGCCACAAAGGCATCAGAATTCTCAAACATACACAGGCCCAAAAAGTGCTGGTCAAAATTTATAGCAGAAAAAAAAAAACCTCTCCACAACCAAAAAAATACAAAGATGTCTTTTTGACTCAAAACTACCCAAGAAGCAGGTTATAATTCAGGGTGGGGACAGACCTGCTGGGGAAGAGCTTTTTCTGTACTGGCTTTGCCTCTAAGTATCTTTACTGTTAACTCCTATTATGGCCTCTCATGCTCGTTACTGAGGAACAGGAAATACTGGGTAGGAGTCAAGCAGGTGCTTGAGGCTGGGAAGCCTGCAGAGAGTGCTGGTTGTCTGTCAGAAGGGGATACCAGGGGTGGGCAGGGCTTTGGCTGCACAGGAAGGGTCAAAGCAGGATCCAGGGGCTGCAACCGGCACGGAAAGTTCTATCTAGAGCTGGGATGACTTTTTTCCCAGAGCATGTCACTCAAATAGCTGCACTGAGAACACAGAAGTGGACTCACATCTCTCCAGCCACTCCTAAGGTTGCATCTTGCTGTGACTGCTCTGCTGACAAATCCAGGTGGATGCTGAAGCAGGGCAGGAGCAGCAGTCTATGCCAAAAGACATTCCCAGCAAAACCAGGACCCAGAAGTGACCAGCAGCAGCTGCCTGTGCCTGCAGCAGCTGATAAAAACACACCAGAACCACTCAGCCCTGTTCTAACAACACCTGAAGCTCACTGTTCTCAGTGTTCTCAGGGAGATCACAGCCCTCCCACTCAGGATGGTTAAATTTCCCTGGCAAAATTGTCCCAGCAAGTATGTCCAATGCTGCATTAGGAATATCCCATTCAGAAACCTGAGAAAATAGCAGAGCTTGTTAAATTGCCAGACTGTGGTCTGGAACATTAAACCTTTTAAAATCTGTTCTTGTAAATGTTTTTGAAAATCAATCGCTAATCAATTAGCTTAACTGAGTTGAACTCAGCATTTTCATTCAGCCTGCATTTTAGCTTGAGCCTTTCTGATTGTTTCCATTTGCAAAAGGGCTGGGATTCCCAGTAGTTTTTCTGGTGGCTTGGTTTGTTTTGGTTTAGTTTTTCCCCCACCGGTTGCCTTGGCCACTCTGTGAAAGGTTCTCCCCCTTCTCTATCAGCCTCACATTCCTTGAGGACTGTTGCCCAGTGGTATCCATATGCATAATGACCTTGTGCCCTTTCAATTTTAGTGGGAGAGCAGACAAAATTCAGTTTCTGAAGATGTGTGCCCAGGCATGGCCTGTCCCTCTCAGCCACTCACCTGACCTCAGCACTCCCATGCACACTAGGATGCTCTGTCTGCAAATCTGGTGGCTCTGAGAGGAGCCCTGGAAATGTACCTGCAGCCCCACCATGTGTCCTTTGTTGCAGCAGGTGCCTGTCGGGGCCACAACATCTTCATCCAGGAACGAGTAGGATGTGCCAGAGTCCTGTGAATCCAAAGTTCCTGAGCATTTGTGTGGATCTCAAATCTACAACAGAACAACCCTTACACAATCACAGTTTTGAGTACTGTGCACAGCTGTCCTCCCTCCATCTCCAAGGGATGCACTGCAACCAATAAAGGCCCAGGGAAAACCTGGATGTGGTCCTGTATTTGCAGAAATCAGACCCYGTGGRTTCTCTTCTTCCYGCTGGAAGGGCTGGAGCTGCCCTCATGATCCAGTCCAGAGGCAAAAGCAACCAGTTGCAAGTAACAGCTACAAAATAAAGCAAACTATTAAATTCAACCCTTCCCTGTTTATGAGGAGATACTGTTTTAGGGGCTGAGCATGCATTATTGAGCACAGGTTACTGCAGCCATAGGGACACTATTGGAGAGAAGGATGGTACCCCTGTCCAGGTGTGCTGCTTTGTAGGCTGCCTTCAGACCAGGATACCAGGTCAGGCTAGTGCCATCCCAGATGGTGCTGCCACCAAAAAGGACAGACCTTCCTGTTTCTGTTCCTCCTTCACTCACAGACATCATCAGGTTAAAAATGAACTCTCTCAAGTGATGATTAGACTTTGGAAACAAGACCACTGGCCCTGATTCCATAAACAGATCACCTGAGCAAACAAGCCAGTTCAGCCAGCAGGAAGGAGGTAACTTTATACTCAGTTCCTACACTGGTTCAAGGGAACCAGTGAGCACTACTAGTCCATGGTGAGAGGTCAGGCCATTATCCACGTATTTTAAAAACTTTGGCTCCCCTGTATTCTTCATCCCTGTTTTGCAGGTAGTTGTGGTCACTGCAAGCCAACACCTCCCCACTCTGCCCCTGGATGTCACAAAGCACATAGTTAAACCTTCTTGAGATACACCMTCTCTATCCTGAGATAGCACCTACACAAAGGCAGGAACAAGTGCTTTCCTGGGACCCTGTCTACACCTGTACACATCCCTCTTGTACCCTGTTAGCATTCCTGCTGTGGTACATCAGCAGCACAGGCACATTTGGAAAAGCACCTGCCCAGGGGAGCAGCATTCTCAGGGCACATTCCTCCTCACCCAGCAGTGAGGTCCTCAGTGCTGCACAAGCACTGCCMTTCTGCCCCAAGCTCCTGAGCCAGGTAATGCAGACATTGTACTTTCATKGAAGGGGCTGGATTGGAACACCTACCGCACACATTGCCCTCTGAGAAGCTGGTGGGGACATAGGTCTGAGTGCATATGCCACCACCCATGGCTCAAACAGGTGAGCTCRGTCAGGACAGTCTTCAAGGAAAGGTAAAAGTCATGCTCAAGTAGGTATAAAGACCAGGATTTATTCCAAACACCTTTGGGTAYGGACTGTAAACAACTTGACTAAAGAGAGGATCACAGCAAAGATTCAGGGCACCAGAGTGTCCCAGTACAGGTGAGGGTATTTAGATTTGGGATAGTAAAACTGATATCCTACTACTAAGCCATGCAGCATCTTTGCTCCTTGTACCACAAAATGCCTCAATMCCTATATCCTCCTTTACTTAGTCTGGAGCCTGTCCTGATTAGTATGTCCAAACAGAATGCTCCAAAACCGGTGCATGAGGTAGGGCACAAGGCTGTCTGGGACTGGAACACAGAAAAAGCCTTGACACAAGGGGCTGATGTGGCCAGGCAGGAGCGGGGAGAGGGGAAGGGGTAGCTAGGAAGGCACTGACTGCATTGGTAGGGATGGAACAAGTACACAAAAAGGCACAGCAGCACAGGAACTGCAACCCCTAGTAGAGAATGTCCTCGAAGCCGAGCAGCAGGAACTGATGCAGGGCACTTGGCAGGCATAGCTGGGACAGGACCAGAAGCAGTCGGCCCTCCAGGAGCGTCCTGAGGGTGCAGCGAGCCAGRTGCTGCAGCGAGCGAGGGCTGTGCTCCAGGGAGAAGAGTGACTGGTAGAAACGTGGGTATTTCTACAGAGAGAAGAAAGGACCAGAAGCAGACAAAGCTGAAGATATCACCCTGAGACCAGAGGTAGAACCAAACATCCATTTGCCCCATTATGGAGCATGGTCCCTGCCCCAACAGCACCTTGCCTGTATCCTGCAACCCTGCACCACCAGCCCCAGCTCTGCCCAGGCCCCTCCAGGCTCAGCTGTCCCTGGCAACCCATCAGAACCCAGGCATGTTTTCTTCAGCCAGCAGTAGGCATTTGKTCCCTCACCTGTACAACCTCTACTGGAACTGCTTCCACCCAGTCCTCAGAGACTCGCACGTGGGTGTAGCTGTTCACCAGTGCCTCGATGACACGTGGGCAGGTGTGGCAGTGCCGCAGCACCTGGCCAGGGAGAGAGAAGTTGATTGCCATCATTAGACAAGGTCCTGCAAACCCCCCTGTCACCTCCTAAAAAAAACTTATCAAACCCAGATGTGGTAAATCTGGTGGAACTCCTGTCCTTCTCTCACGCTGACCCAGAAGAGAGTCATGGGAGAAAAACCACTGCCAGTATGAAGGACCAGAGCATCCCTCCTTGCAAAGAGGGTGACTGAACCAACACCCAACATGAGCACAGCATGGCTGCCCTCAGCACAACTGGGTCCCCATAGCTTCTCCTCAGACACAGGGACCATCGTGTATGGCTGGGATGATGATCTCCATCGGCTTCACTGTTGAAAGTGGCTCATAAGCACCAACACTGCTTTACACCAGGCTTCTTTCCTCACTTTTTGGTGGTTAGAGCATGAGCCATTCTGGCAGGGACTGGCACCCATTTTGTGATCAGCCAGAGCATGGTACACTRTGCCTCTGTTGAGGGCTGCACCGGTGTCTCCGGGATGCGTGATTATGCATGTTTGGTGCAGGGCTGCAGAGACATCTGCACCCTTGTCTTAAGCAGTGCTGTGCCCACATCAGGGGYTGCACAGAGCCCCAGCAGACTTCACACCTATTTGTACAACACATCTCTGGTGCGTCTTACATCCATGTAGGTGCAGGTGACACACCAATGCCGTGTGCCTGGTRACAGTGCAGCCTTCGGAGCACACCCCACCCCGGCAAAGCCGCACAGAGGCAGATTTCCCCGGCTCCGGGCTGCCACTCCCCATGGCCCAGGCCAGCAGTAGCTGTCAGAGTCTATTCTGGCTCTACCAGTGATCCTCATTATCTGGCGTTAATAGGAGATTAATTAGTGTTAATTGTTGATTTTCCTGTATTTTCCCAAAGGGGAGAGCAATCTGCTGATCTCCGGGCTGGGTAATTATTGCACTGCTCAGGAATTAAGACACGAAATTAACCCTTTGTCTGCTGGCATCTTGGAGAGACAGCAGGAGCTGGAGGGTGTGCCCCTGAGAAGAAACACCTCCAGAGGAAAAGRGCAAACACTTTCCAGAGCAAGTAATTATGGAAACTGGGTGAGTACTGTYCACACAGCTTAGCAGACAGAAGCAGGAGAGTCCTACAGGAAAACACACCCCAGGAGAAAACATCAGGGATTCCCACACCAATAATGCTAGTTCTCCCTTCCCATGCCCTGGGCAGGATAGTGAGCAGGTTGCCACGGAACAAGCCCTCCTGTGACTTGCTGAACAGCCCTGCTGTTCAYGGCGTTCCCCTCCCACCACACTCCTGGAGCTGTTGGAGCCCCGCACCTTGAGGAGGGAGCCTGGCCAGATGCGAACGGCTCCATGGTTGAGCAGGGTTCGCACCACGAGCTCCGGGCGATGCTCCAGCTTGTAGGCAGCTACTTGCAGGATGTTGTGCAGGGCTGTGTTGCCACCATAGTTCATGACATTGACATTGGCACCSCGGGCCAGCAGTAACTCTGCGATTTGAGCATTGGCATTCTTGCAGGCCAGGTGAAGYGGATGCTGCCGGTCCCGATCTGCGGCGTTGATGCTGGCACCGCTCTCCACCAGCAGCTGGCASACACGGTAGTAGCGGTCCATGTCCTGGGGCTGATGATGCTGAGCACAGGCAGCATTCAGTGGCGTTTGTCCCTCCTTGTTCTTTACCTCCAGTTCAGCCCCGTGGTGCAGAAGCAGCTGGACGTGCTCTGCCAGGCCGTGCCGTGATGCCACGTGCAGTGCTGTGTCGTTCTCCTCCTCCGTCCGACTGTTCACGCTGGCRCCATGCTGCAGCAGCTGCCGGACACACCTGTGTGGAACAATGTGTCCGTTTCTCATTTCCACCTCCCATCCTACTTCCCATCCCTCACATCTGTACCATCTCACACTTTTTTCCAAGAGTCCAAAAATCCCTGTTCTTCATGCCCTGGAGCAGTGGTTAAAGCCAGGATGACTGGTGAACAGARATACCGTCACCCTAGTTTGAGCTAAGTCCGCACAGATCTCTGAAAATGTTGGTGCACGTAATGCCTGCTCACATCCCCAGTGGATCTGCTCAGGAACCCTATGAACACTACACTGTGACCATTAGCTCCATGGTGCTGGTAGGCAGGCCAGACAGCAGCACCTGGCTCATCTGCATCTGCTAAGGACACGAGCTTGCAGTTACCTGTTCCAMCCCACACAGAGGTGATCTTGGCCCAGGAACAGCCACCAAGGCCACCCCTTGCATGCCCCTCTGCATCCACCAACCCACTTTCAGGGATGAGGAGGGACCCTTCCCACACAGGATTAGGCTTGAGGGGAAGATTGGCTGTGCCCCCTCCACCCCGAGCAGAACTCACTCGATGGAGTCTGAGCTCTTGCAGAGGTGCAGGGGCCTGTAGCCATCGTCAGAGACAGCCTCAGGGTCAGCTCCGGAGCTGAGCAGCAGGCGCACGCAGTCGGTGCTGGCAGCGGCACAAGCCTCRTGCAGGGCGGTCTTGCCCCCTGGAGCAAAGTCGACGGCAGCGCCCCGGAGCAGCAGGAACCGCAGGCAGTCGGTGTAGCCCCGGCTGGCTGTGATGTGCAGGGGTGTGGTGAGCTCCTGCTCATAGCTCAGCGACCACAGCCCTGCAGGAAAAGAAAGGTCAGGGACACATGTCCAGCCACAGTGCGCAAAGACCTGTSCTTTTCCTTGAAGTACCTGATGTACATCCCCCCTGAGAGACTTGTGTTTCCCTTTAAGGGACTTGAAGTCCCTTCCCTGAAAGATCCCTGTGTTTGGACTAGCCTGCCAAAGGCAGAGATCTGTGGTAGGCTCTCAGACCACACAGCCATGCAGACAGGGAGCTCCAGGGAGCAGAAACCCAGGGCAGAGGCTGTTGTGGGCAGTGTSCCCTTCTCCTGTGGCTCAGGGGGGCACTTGGGGTTTCTGTGGTCAGGAGTCCAGTGGACGAAGGGTGTAGGGCACCAGCAGGGCTGATGGCAGTCAGGTGGCTGGGCTAAAACACCATGTGTGAAGCACCACATACACAAGGAACCGGGCAGTAAAACAGAGGTATCAGAGCCAGCTGCCACACACACAGGAGACTCAGCCTGAGCAGGGTGCAGACARCAAGCTACAGCAGAAATGGACATCYAGGGCCTAGGAGAGAGCAAGGGGGGGCTGAAATGTGCCAGCTCTCAAAGATGTTGACCCAGCACAAACCATCGCTGAGCTGGTGCAGTCTGCTGGCTAACAGCCTGCAGATGCTACAGGAAAAAATCTCCTTAAACTGTGCTTCTTGCTGCCCATCCAGACTGAGCTGGAGGCTATCCCAGACTGCATGGCACATTCCACATTACATCCTTTCAGATCCTTCTTGCTGAAGCAATTTGTGGTCATCTGCGTCTTCCAGGGCCAGTTCAAACTGAACCATCTCAAAGACCTAACGCATGTTGTGACAATTCCCCACCTGGCACAACCTGAAGTGGGATCCAGTAGCGCAGTGCAAGCTGCACACAGGGCAGTTCCCAAGCACTTAGACACCCACTGTGCAGGAGGGCAGCCTGCACTCACAGAAACATGAACTCCCTTCCACAAGGAACACAGGAGAACCTGATCACACCCCTATGCTCTCATCCCCATCCCAATTCCTCTGTAACCCAAGTAGAAGCCAGAGCACACAATAGCACAGCAATAGCTATGCCCCACAGCACACACCAGCGGCTGAGCCCCACTGCTCTCACATACTCAGCCAGCGGGTGTTGAAGCGGTAGTTCTTCCATTCTTCCAGGTCACTGGTGTCAAACACAGCGCTGGGGCTCAGGTTGTTATGAGGATCTTGGAGAATCCCTGCTACAGTCCCCTGATCTCCAGCCAGCAGGGCCTGCCAGTACACCTGGGCAGTGCCATCCGCCTGCTGCGTGCGGATGGGCTCGTGGCTCTCATCTCTCCCGCCTGTGATGCTGCCCATAACAACCAGACCCTCCTCAGAGACGAGGACAGGACCTGCTGCTGTGCCCCAGTCAGACTCTGAGGCACAGCCCCACCAGCACCCCTTGCTCAGGCCAAGAATCTGCCTGCCAGCCCAGGGTGTTCCACAGGGAGGGGGAACATATCACACCCCTCTCTTTGGCCCGGGCYAGGCATAGCTCAAATCTCAGCTGGGCTATTCTGGGAAACCTTATGACCAAACACTGRGGCCAAGAGGCTGATAAAGGCTCTGTGCTCAGGCAGCAGTACTTCTGCAGTGCCCTGTTGTGAAGGTAAAATCTGTGAAGGTTGTGAAGGTACAAGCTCCCCTGAGGCAGGGCAGGGGAGCTTGTAGGGTAGAAATGGGGCCAGGACACCACTAAGACAACAGAGAGGGCAATGGTTTCATGCCTGTTCAGCGTGTTGTTGCCCAGTGCTGACTAGACCACAACAGCATGATCCCAGCAGCTCCACACGTGTCCATGCCTTTGCTCACACCTCAGCTCCGTGCACATCTCCAGCACTGCACCCCTGCTTACCTGCYGCACCTGAAGCATTGGCACTGGGGATGTTTTTAAACAAGCTACAGGACAGCTCTTTTAAATCAMAGCCAAAGGAGTGGTAGAAATAGGCACAAGGATGAGCAAAAATAGAGATAATTATCCTTTAGACCAATCCTCCCCATATTTTTCTTGATATCCAGCCTATGTGCGGAGCTCCTGCATAGCTTTAGTGTTGCCTTTCATTTCTCAGACACTCCCCTGATTCAGGGTTGATCCCTACAGTTCTGTCACCTGAGATGGTGTTTTCCTCTGACCCCACTTGGCTGAATACAGCCAATCTGCCCWCCTCGGTCACAGAAGAGTATGCATTGTTCATGTGGCATTAGCACTGTGTAAGTATTGCTCACAACACGTGATCTAGAGAGCACATCAAACTGCATGGAAAGCTAGTAGTGTTCAGCTGAAATTTGTGSCATGGAACTACTCAGATCATGCAGATAAACACAAGTTACGTGACCCCAATAGACCACCAAGCAACAATTACCAGGGGACCAGAGCAGAGTGTAAGACAGGGAACTTTACCCTTCTCACTAATGAAAATAAATGAACAAGTTCTATGCTGACAGTATCCAGTTTGCTCTGTCTGTGCAGAATTCACCTTGTCTAACTAAAATGTAGCCTGCAAAAGGGTAAAGAAAGGGAAGCCCCTGGTAGATGTTCTCATGTGATGGGACCGTCTCTTTACCAAAAGGTATAAGCAGGTTATCCCATGAGAGCTTGAGGGTCCCAGTCACACACCAGGGAGGCAGAAAGCTGTGTAAATGAGTGTCAGTGACACCAGACAGTTTACACTTCCTCTGGGCACCTTAAAATACCAAGTTGGGGGATTTGGGAAAGACAAGATCACTAGAACCTACTTTTAAAGTCACTGAGTCAGCTTTAAAACCTGTCCCTACACCGTCAGTCAGACGCAGAGGCAAGCCTTGGGTAGCATGAAGGTTTGTTTTGGTTTTTGTTCTGTTTCCTTATCTGATAAATTTGGCACCGCTCTGTTTTGCTCTGTTTTTGATGAATGATCTTGTTTGGTTGKGTTTTTCATGTCTTGAAACTTCAGTGATAAGAGAAATTTCTGTGTGAGGTTGTTTTACATTGTCTGTTCCATTTTCTTCGTAGCACAAACCTTTACAAGCAGAGAGATTGGCTGTTCCAGTGTCTGGCAGCMCAGCAGAAGACAGGAGTTATAACATCCAATTCATACTTTACTGACAAATGGTCTGAGTTACACAAAGGGTAACACCTTTAGTGATTTTATTCCTAAGTATTCTGTAACAGTTCAAAACCTGGGTTGTACAAATCTTGGAACTCAGTAAATAGCCCTCACYACTCACAAGTAGCAGCACGTGCATCTGCAAGTCCACACACCCTATTTGTCTCTTGCTGGTCCCCACAAAATGCTATCATCTGACTGAGCAGCAGGACACTTGGCCTGCTCCTCCAGGAAAGTGGCCCTMATCAACAACTCTTCCATTCTGGTACAGGTGGCCTTTGCCATCAGCCTTCTGTAGAGGAGGGTGGCACATTGAAGGCCCTTCCACACCTGACACTCAAATCCTGGGAATCTGCCTGCACCACGTCACTGATCGACAGCAGCRAGGACAAGGGCACATCCAGGCAGCTCAGCACACCTCTCCCTTGAGCACACCAGCTGCAGTGCTCACTGAGAAGCTAAGAAGTTCATGGATGATGTTGATGAGAGGGTAAGTAAAAGGGACCAGAGAGAGGGGAAGCCTGTGGTAGCCACAGGATGTGCTTGGACAAGGTACAATGAAATATAGAGAAGGAAGGAAACACCAAGGATGAGCAGCTCCTACCTCCTGTCACTCAGGCAAGCTTGATTCACCATCTTTCTGGTAGACTGGGTTTCTGCTCCCCTTGTCAAATCCATCTTATGGAACAGAACAGCTTTCTGACGTCTTTTCACCTGTGCAMTCTCCCCACCTCACACATATTTCACACCCATCCCAGCCATCTCTAACAGGACARTCTGGATGACGTGCTTCTCCAACAACTCTTCCAATGGTTCTATYCTCACCATTCCCCAGTAGATCTGCCCCAGCCACCTTGAACAAACCTGCTACTATTTGTTCTACAGATTTTGAGACCTCCTTCCTCCCACAAAAGCCATTCTTCCCAAGTCCTTCTTCCACCACTGGGGATTCCTTCCAACATTTTTCTCAGGTCCCTGAGCCCTGTTTTTGGACCACATCCTTTCTATCCTCCCCATGCCCAAGCCCCGCATACCCACCACGTTTCCTGCTAGTCCAGCGCAGCACATCTCCCCTGGTCTCAATGATGAGRTTGATGGCTGCGCTCTTGGTGAAGTATTTCTGCACCATGTCCAGGTCTCCAGTGAAGAGCGCATTCTGGACCAGCAGATCCCGGCACTCCAGTGGCTCCAGGCGGCTGTGCTGGTATCCCCAGCCATSTGGGCTCAGGCTGTGCTCACTGTGGTGGTATTGGGACCTCAGGCTGTGAGAATGCTTCCACTGATCTAGCTGTGGCAAACGTGTGGCAGAGCGCAGAGGGAAGGTGTAGTCCATCACAGGAAACAAACCTGAGACGTCTCAGCGACACAGCAAATGAGCTAGWGCAGCAAAGGCCCCTTGTTCAAGGGTTGCTCCTGGGTTCCAGCTCCCCTGCATCTGTCTGGGCTCAGGCACAGGCCTGGATCACCCACTATAAATAGCCTGGCTTGGCAGCTSCTCGTCACCACCTCCCCTTCCAAGAGCTTATTTTCAGCTGCTAGGTGCAATCACCCACACAGATTAGGTGCAGGAGCAGGGTAGCARGCAGCCTGGAAACAATTCCTATGTTGTTTGTTCTGCAAAGAGCCCTTGGTCCACAAGGCTTCCCATGGAAAGARGCGGAGCAAGGTTGGGGCAACCATGGCAGCGGGGAGAAGGTGAATGAGGGCAAGCTTGGGAAAGGCMTGCATCAGACTCAGGAGTCATAAGGGACTTCTGGAAGGACAGGCCCTTCCCTTACCCCTGTGGGCAACTCCACAGGGACCAAAAGACCACCAAGTCCCCCACACTGCTCTCACAATCAGTCCCTTCCCTGCACCGGTGARGCACACTGCCCACAGGGCTGGGCAGGATACAGAAGGGCAGAGAGGGGAGCCCTGAGAAAAGCAGCTTGTACAGCACAGATTATCCTGTCACATTGGTTCCAAACTGTGATCGAGTTCTTTGTGGTGTGGCTGGAGGTGCTGATCAAACAGACAGCCAGACTTTGCTTGTGTTTCTTTTGGCAGCTGTTTCCAGAGCAGAAAAAACAATTATGTAAGAACCTTGAAGCTGAAGAGGGTCCATAAAACAGTCCCAGGACTGGGATCATGCCAAACATCCCCATGGCCACTGCACAGGTGCTCTGTGCCAGTGAGCACCTGCAGCATCCCACTGGTGCTGCACTGGGGGCATTGTTTTCCTGAAGGATGCAGTGGCTGTATCTYCAGCTCCACTGTGGAATCCACATTCAAGCTTCACAAAAACTCCTCCAGCCAGGTGAAGGGCTCAGTGCAACAGCCCTGACCTAGGGAACTTTGAGTACATAAAGTCTGGATTCTCTAAGAGATGAGGAAAAGGAGAAAATAAAAACTCTTAGCTCCTCTTCAACCTGTCTTTCCAACTCCTGCTGCTCCTGCCACTGGAACCGATGCCATCATTCTTCCCCAGCTGCAGGCTTGGGAACAGAATCCCAAACAAACCGCTCATGTTCAGCACTATTCATGCACCCAAGACCACCTGGGAAAGGCCSCTGGAAGGAATGTCCTTGCCCCATCACCCCCTGCATGCTGGCCAAGGGTAGGCAGTGCCTTCACACACAGCATTTCACAGGCCCGGGGCTGCACCTTCCTGAGTGCACYGGCTACTTGTTCTCCTGTTCCCATGGCTAACAAAAAAAAAAAATCCCCCAGATCACATTGAACAAACCAGCCAACCCAAAACTACAAACAAAACACAAAAAAGTGGCCCCAAACCCACAAAACACAACCAGCCACCTTCAGCATCTCCAAGCACAGCACCCACAGTTGCCAAATAGGAAAGTCCATAGGGACAGTGAGAGCCCTCAGTTGCAGGCAGAGAAAAGGATGCCAGATCCATCCTYTTCCTATCCAGAAAAGCAGCCAGCCAGGACACTGAGTAAGAGACAGAAATGTCAGAACCCAACATGTCCTTAAGTATACCTGGGGCTTTCATCCTCCCCCCACTAATGTTTGATCACAAGGTAGTACTGAGGAAAAACACAACTAGGACCCTGGCTAGGAGGCTCTGAACATGATCAGGAAAAAGAGGATAAGGACTGGATACTGCCCATGCCACCAAGGCCAACAGGACAAGGATAAAGTGGTACCAGGAACCTTGTCCTTCCACTCACATTTCTATCTTGCATGGCTTGAGAGGACAGCAGAGGGTGCCCACACAGCAGTCAGAGAGGAACAGGAAATRGAGCAGCAAGGCCACTCTCCCAACCAGCCACTAACCAGCACTCACAGAACTGCTGCTGAAGCTGCTGCTGCTGCTCCAYCAGCTCCCTCACACCTAGTCCCTCCAGCTCGTGCATCCTCCATGGACACTCAAGAGCACAGGCTTGTCTTCAGCTTCATAGTCAGCCTAGGATRGCTGACACAACTGCTCCAAGAGTGCCCAGAGCACAGCAGCTGAAAGCCTTGGGGCTTTAGGGTCTGGAACCTGCAGTAACACAAGTCCAAGGGCTGGTCAGAAAGCAAGCACAGGTGAAAGCCAGGACAACAGAAAACCTGAACAACAGTCCCATCACCAATCATGTCCTACATATTTCTATTCCCATGGATGGCYCCCAGCCGCCATGACCTGGCTGTGCCTTATCTCTTGGCCCAGGTCTGTCTTGTCAAATAAGGTCTCCATAGGGCCAAGCACTGCAGCCATGGTGGGGGAGATGCATCCAGAGCCTCAGAAGGAGGTTGTGTGGGGAGGGAGCAGCATGCGTGGAAACGAGCCTGTAACGAGTTTGTAATATGCATGTATGGCACGGCCTGCGCAGCGTCATCACAATGGCACAGGCACTTTCCCGCCTCATTGCCTCCCAAATGGATTTTAAATATCATTCCGAGGACACAATTATTTAAAACGCTGAACTAAACACTCACTAATGGGAAAACGGCGTGTGGCCTGCAGCAGCCATTCCTCATGGGGCCACTCTGCCCATGTCATCCTCTTCTTCAGCCCCACACCCTGCATGGGGCCCATAGAAGCATCCTCCTCCTCCTCCTTTTCCTTACCATAAAGACCAAACAGGGCACCACTGGTGGATGTGTTGAGCCCAGGCTGGTGCCCTGTGCTTATGTGAGAACCTTTTGTCACCATCCCAATGTCCTCCAGCCCCAGGGGCACTGCRAGTCAGCCCCCAGAGTTCCATGGCAGGGAGCGCTTCACCAGACAGCAGGTCCTTCTGTCTCCCCCAGTTTGGCAGCAGGTAATACAGGGAGAGGACATGAGAACAAGGAAGCCTCCTGACCCCCTTTATATGGCCCTGGAAGTTATGGTTACAACATAAGATGTATTTTTGCACTTAATTCTGAATACCTTCTACACCCTCAAGAACAATCCTGAGCAGGAGAGATGAAGAAAACAGCATTATTGTTGGTTACACCCAAGAATCTAGAGCGCACAGAGTATGAAAAGAGAGAAAAAACCCAAGGAACCAAACTGTTTGTAGCAACCCTTGCTAGGGAGAACATACATGGAGACACAGCTCTGAGGATGCCATGGATGTTCAGTCTGGTTACAGCACTGGCAGCATCAGGGATGACAGAGCTTCAGACAGCAGTGGATCTGCTGATGGTGGGCWGCCTGCCTGACCTGGGGTCATTGCCCTCCTCCTTTGCTCCAGGCAGGCATTCTAAGGCCACCACAGCCTACCTCAGACTAAACAGAGAAGGGAAGAGACAGACCAGCACCATCCTCAGGCACTAGCTGTTGAGCACAGAGAGGATGAGAATCCCTCGCTGGAACGCTGGCTGTACATCAGAGGTTCATATTTTMACAGCTTTGGCATCACCAGGACTATCCATCACCAKCTCATTTTCCTCCGAGTGCTGAACYGCTCCTGCCTCTGCTATTTGGAACAGTGTCTAATGATGCACTGGAGCAGCCACCTGGCAACACGGCTGCCAAGGGACACAACATGRGAAGAAGATACAGTCTGCACACTGCTGCCAGCCTCCACTGCCCAAAAAGCTCCCTCCCCTCAAAACTGCTCCACTCTGACCACAGGGATGCTATGTCTCATGGTCCTCCACCTTGAGCRAAAGATCACATGCTCTTAAGCCATTGCTCTCTTACAGGAAGGAAAACAGAACACAGGCACTGGTGATACTTTCCTGAATGTTCATTCAGCATTATAGTGCTCTTTTTGAGAGGTTGAAGAATGGACAAAGAAAAAAAAAATATTTGCTTCTAGCCCACAGACATGCATAGCTSAGTAAGAACATAGATGTGGGGCCTAGGACATCCAACATGACAGTACTGCAACTTGTAGCACTAAAACCTTGCTGGGAGACTTGCAAAGACACAGGCAGATCTGGATAGACTCACACGGAGCAAGGCAGACTCGAGACACTTTGGAACAGAGCCTGCACAGGCTCCAAGTTAAGTTTTGCTTTTATTGTAACCTGAGTGCTTCTGGGTTGTTCCTACACTGACTGTAGCCTGTGAATCCCCACTGGGCAGCAGAGCCTAAAATCAATTTTGCCCAGATCTCACCGGATCCACTACAGCAAGAGGATGGAGCCACAAGCCCAGTCTGAAGGCAGCTGAGCAACAGTCCTCACCAAAGCTAATCAGCTAAATGCAGAGTGACCCCTCAGGAAAAGACAACCAGGTATGAGATCCTGTGTGGGCATCCCAAGGCAGCTCCATGGGAACTTATTTTGAGGYTACATGCAGCCCAAGCCTTGCACAGCAAGAAATGAACTSTGTTGGTTTTTCTTGGCCTGKTTTTTKGTAGCAGGGGGGCCWYRAAGATGRCTTCTGTGAGAAGCTGCTAGAARCTTCCACCATGTCCAGCAGAGCCAATCTGTGATGTCTCTGAAGATGGACATGCCRCTGGCCAAGGCTGGGCCAATTACAGATGGTAGTTACTCCTCTGTGATAACACGCTTAAGAAAAAAAATCCAAACAAAGTAGGCACACCGTTTTTTTTCCTAGCTGGAGAAGAGGAGGAGGTGAGAATGTGTGAGGGAAACATGGAGACACAAAGGTCARTGGAGAAGGAGGGGGAGAAGGTGTTCCAGGTGCTGGAGCCAGGATTCCYCTGCAGGCTGTGGGGATGACTGYGGTGGAGCAGCTGTGTCCCTGCAGCCCCTGGGGATCCACTCACAGCCCGTGGGGMGGTACYCAYGCCAGAGCRGGTGGGTACCTGGAGGRGGCTGGGATGCGGTGGGAGACCCATGGAGAGGGGGCCCCTGGTCCCAGGCTGGAGCAGCCAGTCCTTGGAGGACTGCACCCCGAGGATGAGTGACCCATGCTACAGCAGTTTTGGGAGAGCTGCTGCACGTGATACTGGACCCACGCTGGAGAAGTTCACAGAGAACTGTCTCACATGGGAGGAGCCCCATGGCACGGCAGGGAAAGATTTATCTCCCTAAGCAGCAGAAGATCTCAGTGATGAACTGACCAAAACCCTTGTGCTGTTGGTGGGAAAGAGGGAGGGGTTGGGGGAGGAGAAGGTGTCTTTAGGGGCTTCTTTTACTTCTCATCATCCTCCTCTGCCTCTGTTAGTCATAAATTCACTTTGTAACTTTAAGTTGAGCCTGTTTTGCCCTTGGAGTGTTTCCTCCTAGCTCTTATCTCAACTTACTACAACTTAGTTAATTTTTGGTTTTTTTCTCTCCTCGGCCCATCTCTGGCAGGAGAGAGCGAGTGGCTCTCTCTCATGGATGCCTGGCATTTGGCCAGGGACAAACCATGATACGCACTCACCCCCATACAGGAAATGTGGAAGGGACAGTGTGAGTAGATCTAGGACAGAACTCCCTCATTCCAAGCGCAACTTCCTCCTCCTGCCCCTCAATCAGCGTCTGCACTACCTGTCACATCTCTAAGGAAATGCAGGGCTCTAGTAAGAGGGGTGTGAGGCCAACCACCAACTCCATTCTTCAAGTCTTTGTTGGGGATGGGGGAAAATGAGAGACATGAAACAGGATGCAAAAGTGGAATATTGGAGAATCAAGCACCCACACCAATAAGTCCTTACTCCTCTGGGGCTCACCCGATGCTCTATCAGACACCTCCAGGAGACAGCCACTTAGTTCACCATAAATCAGCACTTTATCCTCATAGCCAGCCAGGTTATCTGCCAAGAGAGCCCAGGCACCGGAGAAGGAAGTTGCCGTTCCGCAGGCAGCAGGCTCCGACCGGAGCAGCACGGGGCTCCCGCCGGGGCCGCAGAAATGGATCTGAGATCAGGCAGTCAGAGAGACCCATCTCCAGGGCAGCAGGAGAACTGCAGCTCCAGGCTGCTCCTCAGCATCCCCGTCCCTCCAGAGAGCACGGCTGCTCGTCCCGCTGCTGGGAGAGCTGCTGGAAAGGGGAGTAAGCTGCAGTGAATAATTAAGGAATGTTTCTCCATTGCCTCCTCGAAGATAAGGGTTTGAGAGTTAGAGTTTTGAACTGCCTCCCACAAAAACTTCAGAAACTGCTTTATTTTAGAAAATGAGGCAACCTCTTTGAAGGTCAATGAATGAGCTTGTAGTTGATACATCAGGCAACCAAATAATAAACTTTGGGTACATGAGGCTAACTTCGCCAGATACCGACAAGCCAGCCAATGAACTTTAAGAAAAAAAAGACGAAGCTCTCTGCAGACCTTCTGTTGGTATGAGGTGGATGTGATGTTGCAACTTTCAACACACTCTATAAGCAAGTGCCTCATTTTCCACAGGGGCTGCATAAATCTACAAAATATTGAAGTTTGGGCAGTCCTTCATGGTCCTGACAGCTCCTAGGAGGCTGTTTGTGCCCCATCCTGCTGGCCTGGCTGCCGTGGCTCTGCTCGCTCTCTGGCTTCCTTGCCAACTCTTAGAGGGATTTCACCGGGTAGAGACCCATCACACCCAACACAGATCTCCCCCATTGCACTCTATAAGCCAGCTGTGGACCCATGGTGGTGGTAACCCTTTTCCTGTGCTTTTCATAATTATTCTTGGCATTTTTCTACTTTTCTATTTCCTTTTTTTTTTCCTCCATAAAGGAGAAAAGCACAGTTGAATTMCCACTTTGGATCCCAACATCTAACCTCATTTGTGTTTTAATCTCACTTTCAAGRATGTTTAGAACCGAATTCCTTTCCACAATTATGGATCAAGGCAAAACTTGCCTCTCCTCACCGTAAGCAGATCAGAACACAGGCATGTCTAGAAAAATAAGTTTGTTCTCCCTGTCAGTCAAGCTCATTTTGCTGTGGTTCTGCCTCTGCCAGAAAAGGAAAAAAATTTCACCAGAAGAAAATATACCAAAAGCAACAAAACCTGAGCCAAACAACAGAAACAACAAAAACAAAACAAAATCAACAAACAAGAAAAAACTTACAGTCATCCTCACAGCCCACCAGAAAAAAAAAACAAAACAAAACAACCCAAACGAAGAACAACATCTCTGAAAATAGTTTATGAACATTAGAAAAACCCTTTACACTGCTAACTTCATGCTACTGACCCAGAGAGATTTAGCTTCTCTTCTGACCAGTACAAACTAATAACACAGACAGAGACACCCACCACAGTAAGGAAGCAGTTGAAGAACAGCAGGAAAGTCAAAGGCAACAGAAGCTTTTATCAGTCAGGAATCTGAAAACCATAATAAGGAGTTWGGAGAACTGCAGAGAACCCAGTATGCTTTGATAATGACCCCAGCTTTCCCCAGATTCCTGCTCCAAGTTGTATGTGGTTGTTTCTAAGCAGCAGCTGTCCTTCCAGTCAAACAATCCCATGGCCACAGTTTAAACTGCCTCACAATTTGTGATGCAAAGATTAAAGACACAATGTGCATTTCTAAGCATTTTATATTTGCAAGCAGGCAACAGAAGTTTTAGCTTTTTAAGTTGAGTAAGACCAAATACAACTCATTCAGGAGAAGAAGCAGAGCCCAGGCTGGTTTTGCTGGGCCCAATTGGTCACTTGCTGCTGRTGTACTTGGTGACAGCCTTGGTGCCCTCGGACACGGCGTGCTTGGCCAGTTCTCCGGGCAGCAGGAGCCGGGCRGCCGTCTGCACCTCGCGGCTGGAGATGGTGGCGTGGCGGCTGTACTGGGCCAGGCGCGAGGCCTCCGAGGCCAGGCGCTCAAAAACATCGATGACAAAGGAGTTCATGATGCTCATGGCCTTGGAGGAGATGGCGAGGTCTGGGTGCACCTGCCAGATGGTAACCAAACACCATCTCATCACCCTGGAAGGAGTGGGGGCCCCATTCCTCATCCCAGACAGGGCATTCTAACCCCAAAAGGACCTACCATTGCCACCCTAAAGGTTTCAAATCACAGGCCCCTTGCATTAAACTCAGGAGAGGCTCTCATAATGCTACAGGAGCTTTGGAATTGCACTGGCAGAACCCTCCCCCTCACAATCCCCATGGAAAAAAAAGAAAAAAGGCCTGTGAGGGGTAGAAATACTCCAGTCTCCAAGTCCTAGCTACAGGTTCATGCTGATGAGTGTGATCTAGAAAACTTATGGCCACTTCCAGAAATGCTCTCATCTCCCCCTTGAAAACAGTCAGAGACACCTACTAACAGGGCCAGCAGCAGCTGGTACTGTACTGACTTGTATGCAATTACCTCTTCAGGCAAAGCYGTGCACCAGAGCTCATTCCCTCTAGGAAATCCTTTCTCCTCCAGATCCACCACTACTACACCTAGAATCCACCCACTCAACTTCTGAGCTTCAGCTGGGYCTCTGCTGTACCCACTCACACTCTTCCCCATGTCTCCAGAAACCCAGATTTTTCTTCCTTACTCTTTATAGTGTTAACATACAGCAGGTTGAAGTTACTTTATGTACAAAGCAGTTTCTAGCAAAAAAGAAACATTTACTCACCTGCTTCAGTACTTTGTAAATATAGACTGAGAAAGCTCCCCCTCTCTTAGGCTTCCTCTTWGATCTTTTGTCCGCAGAGGCAGCAGCATTACCAGGTTTGTTYAAAGTTTCTGAGCTCATCTTAACCTCCGACAGAGCAAGAAGCAGCTCCCATGGGGCTGGTTATATAGCACAGGCAGCAGACCCTAACCTGCCTCAGTTGCAGCCCCCAAGGAGCAGGACAAGTACACACCTGTGGCTGATGATTTCACTTTGCAGTAAATGAAGAGCAGCTGGTGTGAGAGGAACTTGGAAGCGACAGATTCAACTAAACCTTCAGATTTGAGAGGTTTGAGTGTGACCTGGGCAAAGATGGGGCAAGAGCAGAAGCATCTGATTTATGTGGGACAGAATTACCAGAGAAGAGCCATTCCCAGGTCCAAAAGGGGTCTGGTGAAAGGWGGGATCTTGCTTTGGTGCAAGGGTGTGAAATGGAGTACTCAAAGTACTCTCGAATCAAATGGAATCACATCTGTGCTATGGAACAGGTAATGCCATCAGGGGAAACTCAGTAACTGCAGGAARCATTGGTCCAGCAACAAAACAATGGCATTGTAAGCCCCCTATCAGCCAGATTTCCCCTGCTACCTAGCCTGCTTTTGGGATCCCACCTGCTGCACACAACAGGGCCTGGAGTGACAGAAGAGAGGCAGTGGAGGGCTGACACCCCAAGTATGAATTTGGTCTGTGTTGGAAACAGTGATTACACTAGTGATGCTGGAATTGGACTTCTCCAGGAAAAACGTGCAGCAACACAGCTGAGAAGTGAACAAAACTGTTTTCTGGGCGTTGGATAGAAAAGGAAGTGTTTCAGTGGACACCACAACAGCCATTTCATAGAAGGGTGATGCCAGTATGCTTGTTTGGTGGGGCAACACACYGGGGTCTCTGTGCTGCCATGTAGCGTCTCCAGCTCAGGTACACACATCATACCAGCACGTCCTAAGCAAATCACATCTTCCAAAGGGTGAGCTTGGGAGACTTACTCCTCAGTCAGTCATGCTGCTACTGCTTGTGCAGCCCACAGTGTTGCACTGAATAGTTTCATTCTCAGCCTTTCCTCTTGGGGAGACACCTGATCTCTCCCCTGGTGCAAATAACTGTCACAGTGACAAGGGGGGTTGGTGCCACRGAGAGGTTCTTGCTCCCAGAAACTGAAACATTAGTGATCAGGCAGGACAGGCTGGAATGCTCATGTCAGTGCATTTGTGAAGGAGAATGGGCTTGTGAAGATATGTGGTAGTGGGATTCTCTGGAAACAGGAGTGATTCATACTGGGAATGAGGAGCAYGGGACATCACCACTTGTGTTTTGTAAGAGGCTGTGTGTTGTCAAGGAACAGTACCGGGCTCCCCACTCTGAGCAACATTTCACTGCTGTCCTCGAAATGGGAACTGTGATACCTTGGTCTCAGGTTACAGCACACAGTGACTTTTGTGCTGAAGGACCTGGGGGCTGTTGTATCCCTCCCCGGCTGCCACGTGTTTGTGATTGAGTGTTACACACTCACACACACACAGCTGTTTCTTCTCAAAAACTATGTAACTGCAAGGGAGCCCGTTGGTGGAGGAGCAGCAGCAACTGGTCACTCAGCATTAGGCACAGGGAGGCTTTACACTGCAAGGGCGGAGGCCATTCCACTGAGCAGTACAATCAGATTTGAACTCTCAGAGCTGGAGAATTACTATCTGCATCACTCGACAGCACGTGCTAGAGGCTGTACATGCTGCTGTGTGCTGGGCCTGATTCATCCTGSTGATGGTTTTGTGGTGTATGGATCTACTTGCAGCACACATACAAGGGGGAAACCCACAAACCTGTACCTGCCACTTCTGGCTGTGGCTGTGTTAGAGCCAACCTCACCTTTGGATTACAGGCAAGAGTGACTGCACAGGCACTGGATCACTTCTTTTACAGAAATTACTATCTTCGCATCTAAGGAGCAATTCTTGTAATTTATCTATAGTTTTGCTTTTCTGCAAAATCAGAAAATTGACAGCTCAAACACCTTGAAGTGCTGCTGGCCCAGCTTGTGGCTGTCTCTGAGATCAGTACTCCAGGACGTGTCTGCCACAGCTGCATCAACACAGCCCGAAAAAACGGTCACCATGGAACAAATCAAGGTTAATCACTTCCCTGTGGGTTTTCATTCCCTTGCTCTACCCAATAACTTCCAAGTCCTCCACTGTGAGATATTCATCCAAGTGACTTTTTATTGCCATCTAGACCTTTCTGCAGAAYTTGGAAGCACTTACACTAATTGGCATTAATTTCCCAGAAAACACATTTTTCTCCTCTCAGATCATTGCTAAAACTAGTGAAAAACCTGAAGGTTCAACTTTATCTATCGGAAGCAGCTCCCATTGTGCCATTTGTCCTACGGATGACATACAGCAGCAGTCATAACTTGGATTGACCCTTTGGGAAAGAAAAATAAGGAAATACTCGAAGAGTCAAAGCCAGTCAGTCAGCACCAAAGAATGCACTGCAAGGGAGCACGACTCCTTCATTTGTCCTGTCCTTCCATTCACCCAGCAACATGTGCTGCTGGATGGGCTGCTAGGCTACATGAACYTTKCATGTGACCAGTGCTACCATTCTCMTGTGTCAGTAGTAATTAAAACAATGACTCATGATCAAGAAAAGCTATTGGGTTTGATTTGCTACCTTTCTCTTTAGTACCCTTTTTTAGTAATAAATTAAAAATGTATTTTATTCAAGCTTCTGTGGCTCAGGGTGAGGTTTGAACATCAACTTTCCAAAAAATCTGTTACTGATGACAAAAATAAAAATTAAACTTCAGTTGATTAGTCTTTAGTTAAACCGGCAAGGAACAAGAAACAAATTCTTAGTCCAAAATTCCTACATTATTAAGTCTCATTATTAGACAATCCAAGGTGAAGCATAAAGCCACGGCCACTGTGTTGTTGAGAACACATACTGGTGTTCCACAGATGCACATTTTGTCTCTAATGCAGATCTTCAGAACACTGGCAAATTGTGTYTGTCATCATCTATAACAGAAGCATCCATGACTTGTCCAGTGACTTGCCTGAACCCCAGTGCTCAGTCTGGGGACCCTGTTCACTGCTCAGTGCCTCCAGAGCTCAGTGCTCACCACTTCACATCTTTTCAAAGGTCTGGCCACAGATTTGGTTGTACTGAGGAACTGAACATTCAGCAGGAATGGCTGATCCTCACACAACACTCAGCACTTGCTGACTCACCCCAGAACACCCCAACTACCATGGCTACAAAACAAGACAAGATTGTTCTTCTCTCTTTATTGACTGATGGATTCTCGGGCAGATCTGTTAATTACATTGTTAAATAATAGTTAAAAACAAACCAAGGCCAGAGGAGTTTGAAGTGAAGTATCTAAACTGAAGCAGAAATTGGGAAGGAAAAGGCAGGAGAAGCTGGGCTGGGGTCTCCACTTGTGTATCACTGCAGCTTGGACACCCCAGCGGCCACTGCTGTGACCCCAAGCCATTAGATTCCAAGGCCTGGCTCAGATGGGACATCATCTAAATAAGGAAACAGTTGCCCAAAGGTAGCCAGATCAGGAGAGAACAGCTCTGTCCAGACACAGAGGTGCAAGGCAAGTCGAGGGGAAGCAGTATTGCAGCAATCCTAGAACACAGCCAGAGGGTGCAGCAGTCCCGCTCCTGCTGGTGGGCAGGCGAGTCGCGTGGCCACTGCCAGCCATATGGAGAACATGGGCTGGGGGCTCCTCAGCTCACACGTTGTGGGTCCGTTTGGTGAGCTGTGGGTCCTCATCCACCAGCTTCGACTTGAGATGCTCCTTGTAGGCAAGGATGTCTCCTTGCCACTTGGTGATTGTCTGTTTCTCACAGACCCAAATCTCCTGTGCGACCTGAGAGCACACACATGAGGAGGAARAGGAGGCGGAGGAGGAGAGAGGTTTGAAGTACACAATTTTATAATCTTACCAAAATTATAGTTAACTAAAAACTACTCTCTGATATCTGCCAAGAAAAGTTGGGTAACTCTCACGTTTCAATTACCAAAGAAAAGTATCTACAGAGAAACATCTTCCCTGGTGTTTTCCAAGTAATTTCCACAAGATTTTAGAACTGAAAATCCTVGGCCCCTCTATATTTCTAATATTGTTAATGGACTAAGATGAAAAGCCTTTCTTGCTAAATTGAGAATTGAAATTGAAACAACTKAGCTAGTTGGATCTATCACACTGAAAAATAAAATCATACTCACAACTTGCAGCCAAAGGTAGAGTTGACAGATCAGCACTTGACATTTGTGATGGTTTTTATTTTATTTTAAGTACCTGTTTYCCTGGGCCAGCTCAGTAATTGTTTAACATGAATACACGTTTAACATAAGTAAGGAAATTATGACCAGTGATTTTTTTTGCACTCACCCACCTTTTTGGGATGAGTAAGAGCCAGTGAGTTGAAAACACCTTTTTCAATTACTAAAGTTAGAATGGTGCGGTGCTCTGACAAAATTCACCACTGTCCTTACCTGTTGGATGAGTCTGAAGTCATGGCTGACAAGCATCATTCCTCCTTCAAACTCATTGATAGCATCTGCMAGTGCATCTATGGTTTCTATATCTAGGTGGTTGGTGGGCTCGTCCAGGAAGAGCATGTGAGGGTTCTGCCAGGCCAGCCAGGCAAAGCACACACGGCACTTTTGCCCATCAGAGAGGTTCCTGATGGGGCTCACCTGCCCAAAACACACATGGGTTGCAGCTCTGCAGTGACCGGGACAGCCTGCTACCCTGACCCAGACCACCTGCATCTCACCTTGGGCTCCCAGCAGCTCCATAATACAAGAGGACTAATGTTCAGTCAGCCTTACACCTACACTAAGCTTCTCTCACCCACACAAGAAGGGAATTCCAGGGGCTTCTCAAGGACTRTACACAGCAAGACCCAGCTTGTGCCAAAGGTGCGTAAAGATAGCTAATTGGTCTGACTGGTATTCACTGACACAACAATCAAATTACTCTCAACTTCTGCAGTGACAAATGGGCAAAAATCAACAGTGAACTGCAGTGATGTGGACAACTGTCACACACATAATATGCCATGTAC